GTAGTTAGTCTATCATGTAAGAAACAGGAAGAGGAAGAAGCATGGACACGGGAAAAAGAGAAACCTCAGCAAAAAAAGAGCTGGTCTGTGTGCCAATAGCACAGCATATCCCTAAGAGAAGCTGATACTCAGAGCCCTGTAGATGGGGTACTGGGCCCACAGCAGAGTGCCGGTAGCTAGTAAGACCATCAGTCCATTCATCCTTGTTCTCATCGGCATGCTTTACAGGAAGGGCATATACTGACTATACACCTTGAGGGTAGTGTCTAGTCCACTGAGAATTACTTATTATGAATTTCTACATTTGGATCCACGCTCATTTATCTGTCTATATTTTTGTTAGTAGCAGCAACAGCATTTTTTTAGTGCTTCATGAGTTCTAATTGGAACCATCTTGGAGGACTGATGAGTTCCAAGATGCCAAGAGTTTCTGTGGACTGGAAAGTTGGTGCCCAAGTCTAGCTACTTGCCCAGTGTCCCCTCAGGCAGCTCCTGCCACACCCACAAACCAAAGCAGAAGCACACACCCAGGACAGTTAACACAAGACTTCCAATGCTGCATCCCACAAACAGGTGCCACAGCTGTGGCTTATGGAAAAGATCATCATTTCAGACAGGTCTTGTTCTCATGATCTCCAGGAACTCCAGATGAAATGTATTAGGAGAGCCTCACCCAGTGTTCTTCTGTCCTTGTTCCTCTCGTGCTTGCTTTAGGACTGAGCACTCACCTCCTTGAATTTTTTTCATCTCTTTGCACCAAGAGGTACTGACTTAACCTTGTTATTACTGCCACTGGATGTATAATTTACATACATGTATATATGCATATATTTACACACATAATTTACACTGTATAAAAGTACTTCCCCTTCCCTCATCTGGGCATTCCTTAGCACCATTTCTCAGTGCCATTTTTCATCATGATCAAAGCTCAGTTCCTCTCACTGCTCAGGCTCTGAGAGCAAAAACTACATGACTCTTCAAAATCTATTCTTTTTTTATGGTTTCAAAAAAACAAAGAGACCATCAAAATTGTATAGAAGGAGAGTAAAAGTAGGGTAGAACTTGTGCATAAAGAAATATTGTTGCAGTCACACATATGTAAACTCATATGTAGTCCATCTGTACCAAATGTATTGACTTGAAACCATGTGATGGTTGTTAAAGTTTTATGGTTTACAATTGAAATTCTGCCCTTAAATTAGGTTTGGGACAGGATTATAGGCAGGGTAGAACAGTTATAAGAAATTTTACTTACATTCATGTTTGTTTTTAGCTTTTTCTGCAAAATGGTCACATAAGTATTGATGACTTTCTACCCTGTAGAAAGTTGTAACTTGAAGGCCTGTGGTGTTCTGGTGGGAACTGTTAGCTTGGTACAGGTTCTTGAAGACTAAGTAGACATAAGTAGGTGAAAGAACCCACAAAACAGAGACCCAGTTTTCTGCTGCTAATCTGTCACCTCGCCTGACACTGGATGTGACTCTTCAAGCCAATGTGTCCCACTGTGTCCCATCATATAGCCGCCAAAACTAGTCAGATACCTCCCACCCCAACCAGTCTAATCTGTCTGTAACACAACTTTGAACTTGGAACCTGTCTTGTGTTCTTGAAGTCTTAATGAAATACTCCCTGTAGCCTTTCTTTTTTTTTTCACCAGCCATAGTCTCCCATTCATGGCTGTATCTGAGCTGTTTAAGTAACAACTTCCTCATAATTCTGCCAGTCTTCTGGCTTGTCCTTTAACAGTCAGGAACACCATGGAGTGTTGAATGGAGTTAGACAATAGCCCGCATTGTTTCATGTTTCCATGTGGTGGTGATTTAGCTGTTTGGCATGTTACCATCAGCAATTGTACGTCCATAGTTCATTGACTCTCATATGTCATTGATCAGAGATCTTGAGTTATACCATCTAAGATTTGAGATTTATCCATTGTCTTGAAAGCACCAAGTGCTGACAACTAGTCACATCTTAGACACTTGGCATAGAAAAGAGGGAATATGCTTTGGGGCTGATATGGCCAAGGCTGCTGATATTGACAGACAGCCTAACAGAACACTGTCATTATGGTGAGTTAGGCAAGTGTTTAAATTCATTATAAATCCTCTCATTTGAAATAATAGGTCATTTTTGTATACTGAAACACTGAGTTTGCAAAGGGGCTGGCAACATTGAGCTACAATATTTTTAAGTGCACCTAGTTTCTTATTACTGATTTCTTTTTTGTAATCTAACCCTTTAAAAAATTTGAAACTCAAGGAAGAAACAATAATGGTTGTGATATGAAATAAGCATTCGATATAAGTAGAAAACATTTTTGTAACTGTTAACCATACTTACCAAGCAGCCTTCCTGTGGTTCTAGAGAAAATGACCTAGCCTCTGTCATTCAGAGTTAACCCTAAGAAGTGTTTTAGGGGAAAGAACAGGAAAAGGTGAACAGGAGTAGTCCCCAACTCAAAATCAGGGAACATTGCTGACCAAACTTTTATGCCAGTGAGTTTTACACGGTCCTCCACTAAACAGTACTGCATTTATGAGTGGGAGTTTTCTTTTAGCTGCAATAGAACATTAGCCAACTTAACTAGATACCAGGATTGTATTCAGACTCGAAATCTGCTCATTTACATGGGATGCTGCTATGTTTTTACAGGGCTTTAAAACTTTAAATAAAGCAAACATTAGACATTTCCTGTGTTTGCAAACAGCAACTCTCTTAAAGAAATGAAATCAGGCAATAAGGATGAGGCCAGATTTTAAGATCAAAGGAAGGCAGAAGTGGGCAGGAAGGCACGTGCCCATTTCTGGACTTGTCCCTTTGGCCTTAGTGGTGTTTGAACACAATGCAACATTTTGACACTATTTTGTGGTTCTAGGGTTGAGGAGGGCTTAAATTTTATCTTTTGCTGTACTTTGCTGAAAGATGATTTTCTCTGGAGACTCGCAAGGCTCTTTGATCACTCTGGGTGACTGAGAATCCACTGTGCAACTTAAAAGAATTGGATGGAAAGGGTTGGAGATGAGTCATAGAGGGTTGTAGAATGAGAGGTAGAGACAGGAATGCCAGTGAGCTCAGATGGTGAAGGGGGAATGTGGGAGAGAGGGCAGGGAAGAAGGGGGTTACAGAATGGCAGTGTGGGTGAAGTCTAGAGAATGCTCTATACTCTTCTCAGACACCTCAAGTCAAGATGAAGGTAAAGATGGGCATGTCAGAGTTTATTGGAAGTCAAATATTTCTTTAACACCTAGTTATGATGGTGTATTTTGGGCTACTTCTCCCACGGACCCCCTTGTGCACCTTTCCACAGGCTCTAACAAAGAGCCATCCTTTCTTCTCTCCCTTCAGCAGTAACCCCCACCCTTAAATTCCTAAGTAACTTCTACAATCACTCCTTCTTTGGACCCTGCTGAGTATATTTTGTTCCAGTCTAGGGAAAGCTTTGGCCTTTTAAAAAGAGTTCTATAGGCAGTAATTGCTATTAAACTTAAACTGATTAAGCAACCCATACAGCACAATTCAAAAACCTTAACTCAAGTTTACTAAGAACATTTAACATGATACTTGCTCACTATTCATAGCTACTTTCTACCATATTATCTTCACTAAGACTGTCTGAGGGCTCATGGACATTTAGAGGCCTTTTTGGTATGGAAAAACCCCTCCATTGGCAGTTCTCACTGGGCTGCCTAGAATGTTCTCAGCATGTGCCGGCCTACACCATCACTACACGGATCTGCTAGTTGTATCTAGTTGACATAGCTGTAGAGAATGTGAAGCTTTGGTGACAGGATCAGTGATTGTTCAAGGAGAAGGGGAAGGTCTGGTGGGTCAGCTGGCCAGCAAGGCAAGTCTGACCACATGCTAGACACCTAGCATCTCTGTGAGCCTGTGCAGACACCCGAGGCTGAGCACAATGTTTTATTTTGCCTTGTCCACCAGGTTTCACATCACAGGTCATTTTTCCTCCAACCTGGAAACAAAACACTGTTGGCCCATCCTTATGCGTTATAGCCCATTTTTAGGAGTTAGGTAGCCACAAGGATTTTGGGAAGTCCTGCTAAGAGATGATGACCTCTCTGGGGTGTAAGAGCTAGAGTTCCTTTTGAAACACACTGTGTCTTCTTAGCCTTTGGAGAGTATATGATGTTCAGAGTGAGTTCAGAAACCCCTGGAGACAGGCTCTGGTCAGTTACAGGGAGACTTCCACTTTGTAGGTCAAAGTCTCTCAGAAGATCTGACTCTGTTTCTCTCTTTGTCTTTCAGTATTTTTCCTAATAGCTCCCAAGGATACATTTATAATGAGCCTATTTTTGGAATAAGATGTGGATATAAATCTCTCGCCAGATATGCCTCATCTTTATCTTCTCTTAATTGAAGAATCTCAACAACTGGGAGCTAAGACCTTAAACTATCAAAACTGACATTTGGTGGCTTCCATTTTCCTTTTTGATCCTGTCTGTGCCATGCACAGTTGTTACTGGAGTGTTCTGTAGCTGTGTAGACTGTGCACATGCATTCAGTCCAGCTGAGTAATCAGCATTTATACCCAAAATAGGTGTTGTCCTAATGATTTATCTTTCTAGGGAGTTAATCACTAAGTGGTCTCCAGGGGCCATCTGCCTCAGAGTTAGACTTGGCTGTAGCTTATTTTTTACTCATCCAGAAGCTAGCTAAAATTTCCTAATGCTATCTTTTGTCTGCCTACTGACTTTAATGATTATTTGGATGGGTTTTAGAAGGCCATTTGTACTACTGCATTTTAACATTAAGTGATCGTCAGGCACAGGTCTAGTAGCGGATGTCATTAGGCAACAGATGCAGCCATCTGGGATTCTGAGCCGTCTCCATCCAAATGCAGCTTGGCCAGAGAAAAGGAAGTACAGGCACATGGAAAGGTTTATGAAAACCATGCTCCAACCGCCTGTGGTCCTGTGATTTTCAAAAATGAACTGTTAATCACATTTTGCCACGGTGATGTATGTTTGCTTATGATGAAGGTGGACGTGGGAGTGGTGCACTTCACGCCCTTGATCCAGCCCCGGATCGAGCAGCCATTCAAGCTGGTGGAGAAGGTCGTTCAGAATGTGTTTCAGTTCCGAAGGAAATACTGTCATCGAGGGCTTGCGTAAGAATCCCTGTTTTTTTGTTGTTGTTTTTTGTTTTTAATGACTCTTATAAAGGTGTCTGTGTCTGGTGCTCTTAGTTTTAAACTTTGTGATGAGCAAAACATGACAGAGGAAAAGCAAGGCCCAATTTCACCTTGGATGCCACTTACAGTCCTAAATACAACCTAAGACTGCCAACTGCACAGCCAGTGCTGACCCTGTACTGGGAAGGTCAGGAGTTCTCAGGCAGCACTCAGATTCAAGTGGGTTTTCACAATGTTCTCTGTGTACCAAGTTACCATCTCTCTTTTTAAGGACATACTTAAGAACCAGGAAGCAAATATAACTTCTTAGCAGCCAAAATGATGTGACAATCTTCCTGTGAGCACATTTTCATTTATCAGGGAGGCTTCTGTGTTCTGCCTGCTCACGCTCCACACAGGCACATAGGCCCCGCTGGGAAAACAAGACAGTACCATGGTTTAGGAAGGTCTGCCTACTTCTGCAGGCCCTGCAGTCACCAGATAGCAGTAACAGTAATAAAATTATAGACTGTGAAGAAGGGAATAAAGTGTATATGTATATATACATTTTTTTTTAAGATTTGCATCTAATATAGTCATTGTTTAGGGAGTTTGGCTGTTTGAAGGGACTTAGCTTTATAAGCACACATTTTTCATTTACTAAAACTCCCTGACATAGCTACATTTTAGATCTGTCTCTCTTGCTCATGTAAGGTATCCCTTTAGCCCATGACATTTCTTTAGGTATGGTAGGCAGCTTTTACCCAGAAACCACTGCAATCCACAAAAACCCCTCCTTGAGGATTTCGAATGGTGGGTGTTAAATCTCAGCTTGCCATTTGTTGACTCAAAGTATGATTCGTACAACTGTATTCAGTTGCCCTGATTCATGGGGGAGGGGTGTCACACATACATCCCACTTTTAGAAATCCTGGTATTAAGTGGTCCAAGCCTAGAACTCACCCCAGTGTTCCCAAGACAACCCCCCAGTTAAATGATGGGCCCCATCCATTTCGGGATATCTTCCTCTATACAGATATGGACCAAAATATTGACCTATTGGTGTCCTTCATTCACACCACACCACCAAAAGGTCCAAAGATATTAGAAACCATCATCAGTCCCTCTTTACCATAAAACTAACCTGATCTAGGTCCCCTCACCTCATCCTGAAAGTGGAGGAACATGTGTTTCCTGTTAAGAAGCATAACCCTGCTTGCCTTTCTTAGAGTTTGGATGTGACTCATGTTATCAAAATTATTCCGCAGTTATTACTCAGCCTCCACTTTCATCCCAAGGCCTTTGGGATGAAATCTTAAAAACTCTTAAGACCTAGGAGAAGAAAATAAAGCACAAGTGCACCTTTGCAGCATTTCAAACAATGAGTTTTTTCATTTTGAGAAAGTCTGGTTAGATGAAATTTAAAATACATACTTTGAATCAATTTAAAGATGCTTCAAAGATGTCTTAAGAGGAGAATAATCATCTCTACCTTCCTGTCAGCTATTGTATAACTTTGATAAACAGTTCACTCTTGGGGTGAAGTTCCAAAGGCTGATACATTCAAATTATAGAAAAATAAAAATTTTCACATAAATACTACCCTTTATCAAAATATGAGGCAAACCAAAACATTTCTATAAGAATTCAGCTGAGCAGATGCTTACCTTGAAGAGAAGTGTCTCAGTTTGGCTTTGGAAAATATTTTTTCCCATTGAGGACACATCTTGCAAGGCAGGTTAGATCTGCCTCCTGTAGGTCACACCTGGTGCCTGTTGGGATGCAGAAGGTTTCCAGTGGCCTCTGCCACTCCCTCAAGGTGTCAGTTGCCAAGAACCATGTCATTTTCAAGTAAGTAAAAGGCCATCACAATGGCCAGCACTTAAAATTCTGTCATTTTTGCTTTTCCTCAGAATGTTATTTCCTGAAGCTCAGCGCCTCGAGAGCACCGGAAGGCTGTTACAGCTGGCGGATGTAGACCCTACTCTCCGGCCCACCCAGCTCTCCCTCTTGCACTTTAAGAGCCTCTGTGATATATACAGAAGAATGTGTGATGAGGACCCTCAGCTCTTTGCTTATAATTTCAGAGAAGAACTCAAGCAAGGGAAAAGGAAAAATCAGGAGAAAGAAGATGAGCGTTACGGGCTCTAGCTGCTACTGGAGGGGCTGCAGCCTAACAAGTTGATCTCCACAGTGTGGAGCGCTCTGTGTGTACTTGTTTGCCTCTACAGAACAATAATAAAATACCAATGGCCAGATGTGACTTATGTTGCTTTTACTGTACAGCTTGGTAGAGAAAATAAATATCAAATAAGATACAGTACAAGCTTTCTTTTAATATATATACTGCATAGATATGACATGTTTAGTATAAACAGCATCTATTACAACCATACAAAAATGAAATATCTGCACATTGTGCCCCTAAACCACATTAAAATAAATATGCTTTAAATAAAGCAAAACTAATAGCTCAAAGAAAATGCCCAGAAGATTGAAAAAAAATTTTTAAAGCTATTAATCACAACTTGCCCAACCTTACCTTTTCCACATAACTTAAAATAATTAGAATGCAATTTTACTTTAAGGATCTTAAGTCATTTTGATACCTGCTCAAAGGGTTATATAAGCTAAGTAATTTACAGATTCTGACAGGTTAATCTAGTTTTCTGATCCACAATAAATTAAAATAACTTAAATCTTTACAGCGATTTTGTGGGAAAATGTATACTGCACAAAACCTAATAATGAATAGTTTTTCTGCAATTTCCACTTTACTCCCAGTTTAAAAGTAAATGAGCAACGTAACCCATGTCTGGATGGAATTGCACTATGATTTGCTGTGGTTCTGTGTTTCATAAAAACACTCTTCGTTGACAACCGAAGTTAAACTCTGGACACTGAATTCTCGCTCTAGAGCCAAATTTAGATCAATGTTGGCATTTTCAGGTTGACTGTCAAGAGACTGGTGACGAGTCTGCACCTTGAGTAAAGTTCCTCTGTCTCTCTTGGTGCTGTTTGCTTTTCGTTTAATGGGGCAGAAGTGACCCCGTACTAGCTTGGGCAGCTGTCCTCCCTCCTGGCCCTCACCCGCCCCCGTGGCAGGCTGCTGCCCAGCCAGGTGCATCTCAGGCTCCTCGGAGATTCTGAGTCTCTGGAACTGAATTTCAATGTCCTTGGTAGGGCTGCCCTGTTTCAGAGTATGGTGGTAGTCCTCGTCTTCATCACTCAGAATGTCACTCTCTTTAATGAGACCGTCTGGAAATTCAGCCAGGCCGGTGTTGGGGTCCCGCCCAGGCGCCTCGCTCTTGCAGTCTTGCCTGCTCTCGGCCGCCGGGCAGCCACTGCTCTGGGTGCCACTGCTCAAGCTGCACTCATCTGAGTCCAGCGAGCTGCCCTTGCTGGGCTCACTGGGCCACTCTCTGCTGGAGGAAGTCCTGAGGACTTTCAAAGACCTGGACGAAGCTGTAGAGGGAAAAGCACATTTCCCATATGACACAAACACATTACTTGTACGATCTGACATCTTCGTTACTTAAAATGTTATTTTATCATCTGACTTCAGTTACCATCTCTCCTAGCATTTAGGTAAAATACGTAGATGCTGCAAATACAGAAACTGTTTACTTAAATTTATTTGAAACTGTAAGTTGAGGGAATTCAGTTTTAGATTACCAGTTTCATAATTTAGATAGAATAAGGTATCAACTAGAAGAAGCAGAATTCCAATTTTGCCAATGAGTAAATTGAAAAGTTAATCACTAATAAAATCTAAGTTCCACTGTTTTACTAAAGTACTTTGTAATCTGATAAATCAAAATGACACCATGTCCTTATGCTCACCTTCCTTTATTTCCCATGCTGCTCAATTAAAAGCAGAAAAATGTTCTTTTTCTCTCATGAGACCTGTCTCTGCTGGAATTTCCAACCAACTTTCAGGGAGTTAATATTACTTAATAATAATAATAAGTAATAATATTACTTAATCATTTTTATGTGCTTAATTCTGTTCTCTTGGGTTGAAAGGAAAAGGAGCTCTTAGTTTGTTTTGTAAACAATGGCAACATCCTAGTTTTGATAGCCAGAGTATTTTGACAATAGAGAAAAAAACAAAATACACAGTAAGCCTGCAGAGGTCAAACTGACCAAAACCAAAAAGAAGTTACCACATATTTGTAAGATTAAACACAAGACCAAAGATAAAGCATCTTAGACAAAAGAGGGTTCTGAAATGCAGAAATTTTAGAAATAGTGAGCTTACGCACAGCATAATGTGGAATGGATTACCTGCTGACTTGCTGGTTGGGTAAGAACTGAATATATTCGATTGCTTGATCTTAATTCATGAAGTGCTGACCTTCTAGATGCCTGGCACTAGGAGCCCTGGGAATACTGTAGTGAACCAAAGTCCCTGAATTTACCTGCCTCTTAGTGGAAGAAAAACAGATGGTGAATCTGGACTGTGCCAGCTGCTGACCGACAAGGGATGTGGAGTTGGAGGTAAATATATCTTACAACAGAATTTCTGAACACGAGAGGCATGTTTACTCTCAAAAGGAAATAAAGCCACCCCTGGTCCTTTACAAAGTAACTGACAGCTGTATTACAAGAGCATCTATCCTTTTGGGGAGTCTCATCACATTTTCTTGAATAAACACAGGGCCAGCGAAATTCTCACCTAATTTGGCTGAAACGGGAACTCTGTTCTTAAGAGGTACCAGACGATCCTTACAGGTCTTCTCCAGTGGTAATTCACACTTTATGTGACGCCTGAAGTTCTCCCTCAGAATAGAACGAATCACCTTAACGATGTTGGTTTTGCTCTCACTGTCGCTGGGGGAGGAGAGAAACAGCAAAGCATGCAATGTCCATCCCTCACTCGAGACCGTCCTGTGACCACGGGTGGCACTGCCCTGGCCAGCGCTGCACTGCACCTTCTAGGCTAGAACTGATCATTCTCCGATTTGGATACACATATCTGATCAAAGCACTCACACTAGATCCTTAGTTGACTTTCTTAGAGGTCGGATGTGACTGGTTATCAAAATTGAGGGAGGCACTAAAAATAAACTCCCTATTTTAAGAGACATAATTGTGTCTTGTTTCCATTGGTTTTAATCTTCGGAAGTCAGAAATACCTGCAACATAGCTGAAAGATGGTCTCTGGCCGTCCTTCTATTTCTGACTTCGTGTGGATCAGCTCCCATATGGAATTATTTTCTGTCCCTGTGTAAAAGGGAATAGAACAACAGTCTACAGCTTTGCCAAAATGCCATGGTTAAGAACAATGGAAAAGCTTAAAATTCAAGGTATAAAGTCAGATATTTCCAATACTGACTCATTTTATTCTGCTGGCTCTTTCTACGTATGATTTTGACAAATAGTTACAAAAAATGAAATGTTTATGGTTACAGTTCACATTTCGTGCTAACGCTTTTTAGCCATCAAAATCTGATTTCTTCCTCCCTAGACTCCATCTCTGGGAAAGGGATTAAAATAAATGAATTCTATTTCGCAGTACTCTGGGGTTTTGCCCACATGCTTTAGAAGAAACAGTAGGGTGTGCTCTGGCACTTGAGGTAACTAAGGTAGTCACAGTCTGAGAAACAAAAGTGAACAGGGATACATCACTGCACAACGGTCAGCCTTCTACCACCAGAAGCACTGCTGCCAAAATACAGTCATTCTGGAAGGATCTTAGAACATTTTCCAGGGTCAAAAGGGTTTTTTTTCTTCTTCCTTTATTTTTTTATTATCATTTGCAATACTCCTAGAAATTTTCTGGTGTATCTAAATTCATAAAACAACATTTGTGAGGCTGGTGGAGTGGCTCAGCAGTAAGAGCACCTGCCTAGCAAGTGTGAGACCCTGAATCCAAACCCAGTGCTGCTAAAAAAAAAAAAAGACCTGAAAATTTGTGAGCCGGGTGGTAGTGGCTCATGCCTCTGATCCTTCTACTTGGGAGGCTGAGATTGGGAGGATGGCAGTTCAAGGCAAAAAGTTCACGAGACTCCATCTCAGCCAGTAGCTTGGCACAGAGGCATGTGCCTATCTTCCCAAGCTATGCGGGAGGCAGCGATCAGTAGGATTGCAGTGCCAGGCCATCCCAAGCAAAACAGTCTGAGACTGCACCTCAGTGGAAAAAAACTGGGTGCAGTGTGCATGCCTGTCATCCCAGCAATGGCGAGAAGCATAAATGGAATGATCACAGTCCAGTATGGCCTGGACAAAAAGTGAGACTTTATCTCAAAACTAACCAGAGCAAAAAAGGGCTAGAGGTGTTACTCAGCGGTAGGTAGAGTGCCTGTCTGGGAAGCACAGGCCCCTGAGTTCAAAACCCTAGTACCACCAAAAGAAAAAGAAAATGTGTGGACTGTTTCTTAAAAAAAAAAAAAAAAAAAAAATTAGGGTATCAAGAATACTAGAAGCAGATGGTGCATGCATCCTATAATCCTAGCATTTGGGAGGTTGAGGCAGGTGGGTAGAAATTCCAGGCCAGCTCAGGCTTTTAAACAAAATAAAAAAGGACATTAGGCAGAAAGAAAAATGTTGAAAACTAGTAATTATGAAAATGAGAAAACAGTGAAGGGAGGCATTTGGCAGAGAAAAGCCACCCATTGGCAAGTGGATGGCATTTGGTTTCTATCAAAAGTTTGTCAAGAAACCTGTCTGACCCTCACTTTCTTTGCCTGTAAAATAAAAGACACAAAAATTATCCTAAAGTGCTATGGATTGGAAGTGTCCCCCAAAGGCCTGTATAATAAGGGTTTGATTGCCAGCCTCTGGCACTGCTGAAGCTGTAGAACTTTCAGGAGGTGGGGCCTCATGGGAGGAGATGAGGTCAATGGAGGCGTGCACTTAAAGGACATATTGGGACCCCAGCCCCTTCCTGTCTCTCTTTGTTTTCCAGATACCATGATGTGCTCCTGCCACAATGCACTGTGCCACTACAGGCCCAAAGTAGGCCAAGTGACTGTGGGGTGAAGCCTCTGAAACTGAGCCAAACCTTTCCTTCCTTGACACAGGGATGGAAGCCTGACTAATGCGTCATGGTCTTTCCTAACACTTGCATCCCACAATTTAAATAAGTCTCTTAAAATACTTTTTCTGACATTACACTACACAAAAAAGTTACCTGCTGTGTTCCCCAGTCTAACTTGAAGTGCAGATAAGGGGATCAACCAGCGGAATTTAAACGGGTCCAGATCAGCAGAGCTGTGTGCAGGCCGGGAATTCGAGGGCTGTATGGGAAAGCCCAGCAGGAAAAAGGTTAAGGAAACTGTCAGCCAGGGAGGGCACATGCCCTCCTGGAACAGAACTCACATCCTCTGCGCAGGCTTGTGAAGGTGTGGGTGTCCAGGACACAAATGCATCAGATGTGTCGGGGTTTGGGGAGCACAGGTTTCTAAGCAAGAATGGCAGTCAAGATTCCTAAGCTTCCCATTCCTGAAGATGGTTTATGGTATCTGCAGCTAAGCTTGGGTTTGGGGGTGGGGGGGCTCTTTGGTTTGGGTCTTTTTGTTTTGTTTTCAAGTCAAGGTAAAACATAAAACAAACAGAAGTTATACAAACTGTATAAGGAACATGGGCCATTTTCGGGAATATAAAAAGTTGGCTTTCTATATAGATCTCAGCATGGGTGCCTGTCTACATTAACTTTTAAAACAGACATGTTTTGTGGGGAGACTCGGAGATGCCCTGAATACTGAATTTGGTTAGTTCCCCTTGGAGTAAGTCCTGTCAGTCAGTGAGGCCATGATGCAGGCTGTACAGTCATGAAAAGGAAGCTTTAATTATAAATAACTGCTCTTACCAATTTCTTTTTCAGTTTGCAATTTTCCTTATAAACCAGTATGACAGCTCTCTTAAAAACTAAAGAAAAGAAAAGAGAAAAGGCTTTCATTATTTTATACAAACTCTTTAAGGTTAAACTCTTGTAGAGTTGGATATTTTACTTGAACAAAGCTCTTCAAATTTATGAATCTCTAAGTTCCCACTATGCCAACATCTGGGTGAATAATGGCACTGCCTTCTGTTTTGTTAGAACCATGCAGAAGTACCTACTTATTTAAAAGCTATTATCTGAAGTAGGTCATACCATTTCTTCATTCTTTGTTTTATTGGAAGCTGAGTACATGGCATTCGTCTCAGAGACAATACTCTCTCCTTGTTCTCCCAACGCTCAGGGAAAATTAAGAGATTTTGAAACTCAGCAAACTATTAACATGGCAGGTTTCAAAGTAGCCTCAGGAGATGCATTCATGTAACTCTTGGCCTGAGCCAAGCAGCATAAGGGAGAAGAAGATAATGAGTATACAAAGTGGTGTTTTAAGTAGCTGGAGGTCGGCTATATCAAGTCACCAGCCATCACCACAATTCTTCTATCTCCTGGAAATGTGGACAGTTACGGACAGTTAGGACAGACAGGTGATGAAGTTCACTACTGCCAGTCTGTTTCAAGTTTACATTCTTTTGGATAGAATACTAACCAAATACTGTGAGTTCAAGGTCCTTTCTGGCTTTTCCCAGAGACAGAAATGGATTTAACCAAGAAACTGTAGAGTGCATCAAAAGTTCCCCCATGGAAAGTTCTGTTACCTAGATAGTAAAGGCAGAAAATAATAACGAAGATGTGAAAAACACAGGGATCGATTGTTTCATGTTAGACGATGAATGACATGAATGTAATCACTGCTAAAATGCAAGTGCATTCTGCTTGACTTGTACAGTCCTTGTCCACATGGGGTATTAAAAACAATGGAGATTTTGTAAACATGAGCTAAACATCCAAGCGTTTGATAAATAACACAAAGGTGAGGCATTTTGCCTCAGTGCACACTTTGAGCTACTCCATTTCTGTGACATAATTCTACCACGTGCCCACATTTGTCCAAAGGGCCTGCATTTACAGTCACCACAGGTTCTAGCATTGTTTACCACCACTACTTCCTAAACCTCATTAGACCCGCTCATAAAAAAGTACTAACATTGAAACTGACTAGTTAAAACTCCCGCTCATTTCTAACTTGCCGCTTTCTACTTAAACTATGTTCTTTCAAGCACAAGGATCCAAATGTAGTCATCAAACAAAAAAGAAAAATACAGAAAATGCCAGATTCCTCTTGGACTGGTTTAAGTAAGCAGATATACACCAGTGGTTGATGCTGAAAAATAAATGCAAAGGGAGAAACCCTAGATTTCTCCACATGCCGTCCCCCACCCTTCCTCCATCCTCCAGCCAGCTCTTCCCGGGTTCCAGCCCGTGGACTATGGGACTGTGTGCCCATAGGGAGGCAGGGAGGGGAGAGGAGGTACATGAGTTCCGTGATGCATCTGTTTTGTTTTCTCTGCACAGCGTATGTAACCCTATGATGACATAGGTTACATTTTTAGATCAATGTAATGAATTTTAAGTTACATTCCTATCTAAATTGTATCGTTTAATTGTACGCATTGATAACAAAACAGAAATTTTAGGCTTTGTCTCCCCCAGGAACATCCTTAGCAGATAGTCCGCTCTGGAAGATCACCTAAACCCCATCCATCCAGGCACAAGACCATGCCGAGTCCAGAGCCCCACAGACCTCCTTCTCTGTGCCACTCTGCTCTGCTACCAGCTGGTCGAACACGGTCCCATAATCTTCGTAGATCTTCTGCATCTCATTGATGTGACTGGCAACTTTTTCCATTGCCTTTAGTGCTTCTGCAAAACATGAAAGCAAGTTTGTTGGTTCTAAATCCTATTCAACAGTAATAATGAAAGAGCTCAAGACTCAAGCCAGGACTGGAGGCCAGTTCTCACCAACAGCAGCAGTGTTCAGGTACAGCTCACACACCACTGTAATCCAGTCATTACAATGAAGAACAGCTTAGCAAAATCTCTTTGAAATGAGGAGACTGTAAGTAAAACCATCACTAATAATAACAGCTAACACAAACTACTCAGCACTTTCTGCTTGGCACATATCATGCTTGTGATGTGTGTGCACTGCCTTACCCCACAATAACTCAACAACTGCAACCAACCCCAATTTAAAAAAGAGAAAACTGAGGTGCAGTGTGCTTTGCAAGAGTTCTGGAGAAAAACAAGTGTGGAAGCCAGAATTCAACCCAAGACTGCTGGCCTTGGGACACCCTCTCTTGGATTCTGCCTCTTCTCCCAGACCACGACATACTGGAATTGGAATCCATGAAGAATTATTTTTCAGCTGGAACTTAGAGATGTCCCTGACAATGCCTTACCACCAGGCACTTGTTTGCATTTATATATGGTGTTTATTTGTAACTTTGGATAAAATGATACTGTCAAAGTCAAAAGCAAAATCTCAGGTTACCTCCAAATTTAGTATTTTTAACCTTTTGTTCTCCTAGTTGTAGAATTTAACTTCCATATAAAAAATATTTTGTCTTCATTGCTTACGATACTAAAGTATGTTTGTCACAGAAAAAGAATAAGTTTAATTTACACTCTTTCTGGGGTTTATCACTACTAAACTTTACCAATCTGTTCGTCTCCCCATGAATTTTGTGATGTAGCCTAATTGGACTTGCTAATTTTACATGTGGAGAACAAATCACTTTCTCTCTAGTCTAAAAGAAGCATCTCTCTAGCGGATACTCTGCTCTCACAGCAGGACTTTAGGCTTTTGTCAGATTGTACATTAGGCCAGTCATTTCAGAGGTTACAAAGGAAACACATCAGCCTATACTAGAAAGCAGAACCTGTGACTAGACACTTGGTGTCAGAGTCAAGCACTGCTCAGAGATCTCCACAAGATGGCGCCTCACCCAGCACATGTGACCAGCAGCACTGGGATGGCAAACTACTGAACCTCACCAGGCCATAGGGAAAGAGGCCTGATTTTCAGTTCCGAGTGCACTGTTTACCAGCCAAGTGACCTAAGGGAATTTACTTCGACTCACCTTAAATTACCTTATTTTAAAAGTTTAGATTGAATTATCCCTCCAGAGGAACTTGGTAAAAACAACCTCACTGAAGGAACCAAGAAGTATACTATACTGTACACTCCGAAGGGAGGGCCAAATTGAGCCATTTTCACATATGCAAGTTGTAGCTAAGATGCGTAATCACAATATTGACAAATGACCCACAGAGTGCTGCTACACAAGGGAGAGATGCACGTGGTTGGTCAGCTGTTTGGAACGCAAGCAGCCTCATTCCAGCTCATGTCCCTCCATTACCACCGTACCTGTCAGGTGGTAGTGCTCCTCGCTCTCGTGGTCTGTCAGGGACACGAGCTCCTTGAGCAGCAGTGGGTACTTCAGCACTCTCTGGACGGGCTTGATGAGGTACGACTCTAGAGTGGAGGAGTGCTGCTTGGTGGGGTTCCGGGCATCCAGAAAAGCCTTGAAAGCCTTATCGGTTTTAGCTGCAAGCAATGGAGAAAAGACCCTTAAAAGAGTACAGTGGGATGAATTAAACTGTGCCTCATTTATCCTCTAACAGAGCTTCCTATCATTTCTGTAGTCTTCCTCATACTCTCCTGCCACATCAGTGGGTCAAGTACCCAATTATCAATGTGGGTTGATTTCAGCTTCAATGGCGCTGGTGAGTAAAGGATGCTTATGAGGACACTGGAAAAGTACAGTGCAGACACCAGAGAGAAACCCAAGTCACAAGAGAGGAGTGTCTGGTTTGACATACACACTGCATGGAGAGACTGTTATAGGTGGCCTAAAAAGTGCAACAAACAATTCATAAGGCCACAAAACAGTATCATCCATATTCTACACCATGACCCACAAGAGACTCACAGAAAAATAACCAGCATTTCTTTCATCAACCTAGCACACAGAAACTAGCATTGGTCATTGCTACTTCTGTTTATTGATGAGCTATTTGAAAACCACTATCATTTTTCCTGTGAAATAAGTTGATAAGCCCTGTTGCTGTCACCTCCACAACTCCAAGCAGACTGAACTTGCTTCAGAGCTGCAGTTCCTTTCTACCAGGTGTGCCATTAGGACCCCTTGCAATGAGAACTGCCTCTGCTCAGTTCCAAGTGCCCTCTAGGGTGCCATGTGCATGTGACGTGATGCCAGTGGACATACCAGCTGCCCCTTTCACAGTGGTTGACCAGTTGCAACCAATTTGAATGAAGACAGACCTTTATATGTGGACCTACTACAAAGGCAAAATCTCCAGCATCCAGGAGATGTAGTACTGTTCTGAACTGATTGCCAGATCAAGTCAACAGTGAGCTGCTCCTTCATCTTTCTGACAAAGGAGGGAGTGGTCATTAGACACTTTTATTTCACTGTAGACCATCCATGAGAAGGTGTCTGTGGGAAGAAATGCCAATGGACTCAGAGTTCTGTTCAAAGTGATGGGAGAAGATGGATTTTTTTCTGGGTCTTGTTACTCAGAAGCACTCCAAGACTCCATTTTTTACACTAGGACCTTCTGGGATACTATGAAATTCTACACTTAAACCAAATGGCAAAGCTGCATCAGTTGAACTGGTTAGACACCGAGTGTAGAGGGCTCTCTCTGCCCTCCACAACAGCGAGGGGAGCAGCACCAAGGGCAACATCGCTTTCCCGGATCCGCCCGAGACTGAATCTGGGTTCACACATGGCTTTGACTTTGGTGGTGGTGTGGTGGCACTTCATAGTGACTCATAGACTTAAGAAGGTTAACAGAACAGAAAGAACATGGTGTGTATTTCTAACCTGCCCAGGGCTAAGGCTGCAAGTTCTCAGGGGACGGAATGTGGTGAAAAAAGTAATTGAATCACAAGGTATCACATGGAAAGGAAGCATTTCTGCTATTAGTTTCACTTGTTCACTGCTACCATAACTGGAAACTTTCCCTTTAACTTCTGGCACCTTCAAGGTCAAGAACAGGGCATAATCCATTAGAATTGCACTTACCCATGCTTGTTTATTAGTAATTCAAAATACAAAAAAGATAAAACAACTATGAAAGGTATGAACTCACCTCGCTCTAGAACCTTCTGTACTTTAATATGATTTGCACAGAATCCACTGTACAGTTTAAAGTGGTCTGCATAATACAGGAAAGAGCCTCCCAGGGAAAACAGCAACTTCTAGAAAGGGAGGAGAAGTAGTCGAGTCAGTTGGCTCAATCTGTACCAGCTCTGGGCAGGCATTTGACTGCTCCGTAGCCATCCGGGTGTCAGGTACACAGCACCAATGCCTCACAAAGCACCAACTAAGGTCAGCCTCAGGAGGACAGCTCAGTTCACCCTGGCCATGGAAAGCAGCCTGTGCCTTCCCCACAGCAGACTGTTAGCTTGATGGAAAATTTTCTGGCAGCCAGGCCTTAGGGCGCAGTGTGCAGTCAAAGAAAAGAAACGATGTACAATAAAGCACACCAGACAAGGTGGGCTACAGGTGATCTCAGGAGCAAAGAAGAGTGCTGACTATCAACTGCTTGGGACGAGTGGTATTGACTATGTACTTCCTGTCCCCTTTCCACTGCCTTCTGCCTTCTCATCCATTGAGGGCTTCCTGTCAGCTATGGCACTTACAGGAGAGACAACTCTGAGCCCATTTCCTTGGCACAGGGTAGGTGCTTTTGCTTCAGAAGCAATCGCCTGGGGTTGCCCTTCTGGAAAAGTGTGTGAAGAACACCTGTGTGGTCAACAGCCACGTGCACTTACTCCAGGAGAGGAAAAGGTCACTGCCTTTTACCATGTACAGGAAAAGCAGTGCAGTGGAATGCACTGTACAACACACCTATTTTTGCATTGAATCCAAGTCTAAAATACTTACTCTAAACTGTGAGGGGGTTTCCAGAATGTTAAAGTCTGAGGAAGCTGAGATCCCATCCTCCAGGGTCTCCAGAAAAACCTTCTGAAACTCCAGCATCTCTGGCAAGCTTCCAAAAAGTGATTCCATCTACATGAAGGTCAGTGTGAAAAGGCTTTAGGCAGGGCAAGGTTGGTCACAAATCGGTCACGAGGAAGGCACTCCCCAAGAGGCGTGCAGAAACCAATCCTTTACACAAGGGACAGTCACATGGGGTGTGACTACACAGACAGACAGCTCCAGCCCCCGTACTTCCCCACTTCAGGAAAAACAGAAAAAAAACTGATTTCTCTGATTTAACATTAAAATCTGTGCAATGAATAGTAAGTTTTGACCATACCTCCTTCTACAAAAATGGCAAGACTATCCTCCTTTGTAAATACTTGCCACTGTGCCTCATGTGGAAGAGGCCACACAACTGTCTCAGGAGGAAGCCACGCCTGGGACTTTCTAAGCAAGTGCTCTAACATTGAACTATATCCCCAGCCCTCTCCTGGGATTTTCTGAAGACCCTTCGGTCTCAGATGTTCTTCTGAAATCAGATGCTATAATCTCCTAGGAGGTCTGCTGGAAGGGGATGGGCACTATTTCAGGTCAATGTGCAGAGGGAAAGGTTTATTATTTACCTCATCTTGGGTAAGGAAAGTCTCATTCTGAAGAGGCTCCAAGTATAATTCAAAGAGGCAGCTCAGATCCTGAAAGACAAAAGAGTATCTTTAATACACATATCTCCAAAATACACTGGGGATTCCAGTGGCCCTGGCAGCAGCTCCACACACTTCCACTAGGAATGTTGACATGTATCTTACTAAAATTCTTGACCCTAAGAGAAGTTATTATTGCTCCCCGAAAGCAAAGATCAACACTTCTATGCTATCATCAACTGGGTCCTGCATTTCTTTATAGATCAGTCACCTATTCTGTTCAGTTACCCTCTTGTTGACAGAGTAGGCTGCCTCTGGTCACTGCCTCTAGAGCTCTCAGTTCCCTACAGAGGGGAAGGTCTGGCCAGCCACTGCTGCAGGAGTGACCACAGCCACTGGTGATCTGGCTTCCACCTCTGCACCAGGAGCATGGTGACAGCTCCAGTGTGAAACAGGAGAGATAAGACCTAAGGAGCACTTCAACTTCAGGTTCACACATTAGCATAATTTCAAACTCCCAAGTTCAAATGCAAGGAAAGCACTCCCAGGATTAATAGTCATGATGGTTAAAATCTAAGCCATGTTTTGATCTCTAGGAAATGAGGCTCCAGCCACATAGAATGATGGGGTATTTACAAAACCCATTACAGATTTTTTTCTTTTACTGAATAATTTGGAGCTAAGACTAGGAAACAACTTAGTGATAGAAAACGATTTTCTTTCATATTTCATTCATTCTGAAGACTGTTCAGTCCTAAAACACTAGACATAGTTGAACACAAAGTCAGCCTCATGTTCACCCTCATTTCACACAGGAGAAAGTTAAGACCCAGAAAGCTTGATAAAGCCCAAAGCCCCCCAGAAACTTCCTGGTATTCATTCTGAGAGCAAGGCCAGCCCTGTGCTGCTGATGGTGTTTACAATAAAGACCTCCCTTCCTCCCTTGCCAGGGTCCATGGCAGCTGAGATGGAGAAAGGAGCTATGAGGAGTTACTGAGCCAAATCTCGAAGAGCAAATGGATGTTGACAGTCTTAATGAGCATGCAGGATCCAGGTTAGAGTAAAGAATGGCAACAAGGAAAGTTACAGGTTAAATGTCAGCAAATGAAAGAGATTTTAAAACAGTGGAGGGAGTGAATCACAATAGGCACCAGGTGCTGGTTATTTGTCAGAGAGTCACTCCTATCCAGGCTGATGCAGCTCAGAGGACTTACTACACAGAGAGCAGGAGATGCTGAGCTGGGGCTCACAAAGAGCTGCCACACCTGGGTCCTATGGACAATGGGCGGGTTTCTCACGGAGCAGGAAAGTCGATCCTCCTTGTCTACCTGAGCACATCTACCTCAGTGTCTGCCAGCAGCACCCTGAAGTGACCCTCTGGCTGCAGAGCACGCCAACAGGAAGACAGAAATAGTGATGACAACGGTAACTCTAACTCCACTCTCAACACTGCCGGCAAGGGTTCCATGATCCCTCTCAATATACCAGACAGGCTCTGAAGCCCTGAAAACCTCCACAGATCCCATCCCAGAGCTACCTGGAAAAAGGTCACTGTGGATACACAGGATTGTCCAGAAGTCCTGTATAAGCTCTCAGATAGCCACTCCATCTCTCCACACCAGATACGGGAGCAGACATAATGAAAAATGAAATCAGAGTCATCTGTCTAGCTTTTCTCTCTCCCAGATAGACCAAAAGAAGGGGCTTTTCCCCCTCGGCTACCTGTGACTTCACTTTGGTAAAGTCTGGGGAGCACAGCAGTAGCATTACTGACAGGAGCAGCTCAGATCTGTCCTAGGGAGAAAGAAGGTAGCAGCCACATATGTGCCAATGTTCAACTCCTAGACTTGGCACACCAGGGCTGGAAGACACGTAGAGAACATAGAGGACAAATGAGGGAGCTGGAGGATGTCTAAAGCCATGCAGCCAGACTGGGCAAAGCCAGGCCTGGATTCTCAGCCACCACTCTGTGCCATGCTAGTCCAGTAACTGATAAATGAAGCAAATTTAAAATAGCTCAAGGCAAAGGACTGCCTGCCCAGGCTCCTGCGTTCATAAAATGTTTCCCCAACCGCTAACTGGGGGCAGATCGGAAGAGTGAATCCTCTTGACAGCTATGCCTTCATTACGGTGTGAGAACATTCCCACCTGGTGATGGACATGTCCATGCATGGCCTCCATTCTGCACAGCGAGCCCATGGCAGGGCTGGCCTAGGGGCCACCTTTGCCACTGGTCACTTGTGTATAGATTGTTCCCAAGTTCCACATCACTTAAAGTAATCTCTATCCCTTTTACTGAAGCAGTGCAGACTCCCTTCCCACAGATTGCAAATGACAAACTAGAACATCTGTTTCCATAGTGAAAGCTACCTTGGTAACAAAAATGAACCAAGAGTCTAATTTTTCCTGAGTCTTTTCAGTTCCTCCACCCTCTCACTCCACCCTCCCTCCCTGCAGTAATCTGCTGCTTCAGGGAACATGTGTCTACCTCCTGAGTGGCAGAGATGAACTGAGGCCTCCACCAACATACAACTCGCCATCAGCAACAAGGCATGAAGGCTGTACTTCCATTACCTTCACATAGGACTTCTCTGTGTCCACAAGCTCCTGGATGACTTTTCGAAGGCGGTCTGCATCAGACAGGTGGCGGGCCAGAGGCCGGGGAGGTGGGTCCTGACTTTCCCTTGGTGCCTCCATGCCTTTGGTCTCGGCGTCGTTGAAGCCCCTGCACAGTGCAGTGATCTGTTCAGCACTCTGAGAGACGACAAGAGATGGAAAGTAATGCTCAGGACACTTGTCATTAGCATCAGCTGCACCCCTGGGACACTAAGTGTCTCCACCTGGGCCCAGTACTCCATCAGGAGTCTCACATGGGCCTGGGTCTCGGGCAAATGACCTCCTACCCCTCAGACCACTCTGGTTATCATTTAAGAGTGTTGACACACATGCTTCCCACTGTGCTGTGACATGCTACTAGAATCAGTTTACTATTGAAATCAGTTGAGCTTGCTATAAAATCAAAACATTATGACTTTCTGAAGAGCACACACAAGAGACAGCCTCACCAGTCCAACCTGTCCTAGTAGACCTGACCAGCTTTCTGTCTCCCAGATAGCACCAGGAGACTCAGAAATGGTCAGGAGGCACCATGGCAACTTTAGGATGGCCTGGCCCTACTGGGCCTGGAGTTCTATCCTCAAATTTGACCATCTAGCTATGTTGACTTGTGCCAAGTAGCAGAGGTATAAGTGAAAGATCTTGAACTGGTGTAAAAGGTCCCTAAAGAGGTGGAGAGCCCATCAGAGAGCACACACTAAGCAGCAGATGCCAGAGAAAAGCCTGTTGAGGGTGAGGGGAAAGGCATGACCCAACCTGTGAGGACCTCCATGGAGGAGGATCTTAGCATTGAGTTGCCATGGCCAGACCTTGGGAGTGTGAGCCAGGTAGTAGGGACAAAACCACACAGTAAGAGATAAGAGGGAGCAGGGACTAAAAGCCTATGGTATAAGTTCCTAATTAGATCTGAGTACAAAGAGCAACCATTGGTACTTCTGCCTCAGGCTGGTTCAAGATCTTAACTGGCTCCTTCCATTTGCTTCCAGAGTTCCCAGAACATCATCAGATTACATTCCAAGTTTCTCTGGTTCTCTTCTTTCCATCCTATCCACATAGTTCCCACCTGATTATACCACATGCTGGTCTAGAAGTTTTTGAGGACAGGGACTATGTCTTTCTTTGATGTTATCCCCCATGTGCCCAGCTCAGTGTTTATTTCCCCACTCTTGCACTGAAATTATTATTGAACAACAAAGCAACATGGCCTCAATGCCAAGGACTAATACCTTCAATATCTAGCAACTCTCTGTGTCTCAACTAAAATGGTCCTTTCTTCAGCATAAATGCCTTCAAGCCTGACCTCTACCGATCTCTATCTGGAGCAAAAAGCTGAACTTGTCAAAAGGATCTCTTAGTACTAACTTAACTCACTGTCTTTGCTTGCATATTTCAGAACCCAAACAATTGACAGAAGAATGTTGGTCAACTGTGGTGGCCTGATATGTGCTTCTAAACACTCTTATCAACTAACAAATTGAATGCCTTGGAGAAAACACATGCTATTCTGGCTCACCTTCCTTCTCTGTTCTAGGCCCCCAATACATGTCTTCATAGAATGGAAAATGGAGTCAAGATTAAAACTCAACAATGATCTTCTGCCTAGTCTTTCAACTCAATGAGCACCAACTGTGAACCTGCTCTTGTCTCCAAAGAAGAGGACAGTTCCTGCCTAAGGAGAGAAAATTCTCCAAGGTTGGAATTCCCAGATTACAATCAAAGCCAGTTTCAAAGCCAACACAGGTGGGTGGAAAAAGAGAAAAAGGTAAGACGATTGTTAAGACCCAAATAGTACTTGGAATGGGCTGCCTGTGGAGGCTTCGGGGAAGAGGTGGGTTGTAATGTGGTCCTGAAGGGGGTGAGGTCTAAGGGAGAACCATAGAACAAGCCAAAGGTGCAGCGGAAAGCACTGCCCAGAAACATACAGAGCCTAATTCCAGGGGCAGGTGACACTGAGGCCCTGATGGATATCACCAGTGAGAAGCCTCGACTGCTTCTCTCATTTCGACATTGAATTTTGGTGCACAAGTTAGACCAACCAAGAATGGGGGGAATTAAGCCTCCACAAGATGTATAAAGCATGAAATAATTTACTTTCAAACAGTTCAAAACGTAAAGCGTGCTAACAACTCTCTTTGGACACACACATTTTCTGTTTTTATTTTTAAATGTGAACGTGTGCATATTTCTGGCAATGCTTCTCAGAAGATGCATATTTCTTGGCAAAATTTCAAGATAAGAAAACAGATATGGATCTTAAGGCACCAACCAGGATGCAACTTGATTTTTCAAAATGTCTCATTTACTTATAACAACCAAATTTTTCTTATTTGAACAGGCTCTGACATGGTTAAGTCATGCCCTAAAAGCCTAATTGCATGCAGAATAGTGCAACCAAAAGGTGGCATCCTTTCTCTTCCAGGACAAAAGCATCATGAAGGAATAAAAATCACTGAGAATTCTGCTCTCTCCCTCTCATTAGCAGACCTGGCCCCTGGCCCCACCTTACCCCTGCCTGGGAACTTCTGGAAGCACCATGCCTAGACCAGCTGAACTAGAATCACTGGGGCCCTATCACAAGTGTTTCTTACAAGCTTCCAAGTGACGTTAGCATGTGAGAACTGCTGGATGATTTGTCAGGACAGGCACATCTGGCTGGCTTCCTAGAAGTGGCGTGGATACCACTGATCACCCCAACCCCAGGGTCTGCACTGAAGGATGGCATCAGAAAAGCTGTGTAGACTGAGCTCAGAAGGCAGGAGGAAGTAGGCAGAAGCCCACTCTGACCCTGGGGCTTCAGGCCCAGCCTCTAGGAACTGTGCTAAAACACCCATGATGATAATACACACATATGAAATCTCTCTTCTGGGATTTGCACTACTAGGTCAGACGATGCAACTTTGCAACCCTGAAAACGAATAGTCTCCAGGGTTGTGGAATCTATATTAAGCCTACATACATACATAAAATAAGATATGACAAAATGCACCATACGTTAAATGGCATCTGGTGAAGATTACAGCTTTGCCTTGCTGGGATGTCAAAAATCACACCTAACAATGCAGTGCTAAAATAACGAGACTTCAAAAATAAAGTATCTTGCCATTTTAGAAAATCAGAATTCATTTCAAAGCACTTCCGGTAGAATTAACTTCCAAAAGGTGAAATGTTTTCAGAGTGTTTTCAATAGCAGATCTCTTGTTCAAGGTGCCACAATAGAGTGCTCAAGTGCTGCAGAGAAACTGACACCTTCTGCACATTTAATAGTGGAGCTGTTGGTGCAGAGTGCCAGTGAAGATTACCTGGAATCAAAAGGAGGCAGGGCCCCTAAAAAGACCGGGGTTATAACTCCAATATAAGATTGGAGCTGAAAGAATCACTTGGGTGACTATATAGTGATAACCACAAGACAGAGGTGGCATTCTTCATGGGTCTGATAAGCATTGTCTGGGAATAGTGACTGTTTTTGAGTCTTCAGTGTCCTTATTCAGGAAAACTCAGCAGCAACACCAATCCCAGCAAATAAATCCCAGCTCAGATTGCTAAGTGCATCTAGCAGAATAGAGAACTTGTACTTGTGAGCAACAGTTCTCTGTCAGACACACTGGTTCTGTGAAGACACACCAGCACTTCATCTTTCCCGCTGAGGCTTTCCAGCTGAAGGATAAGGAAGCTTTGGAAAGACCTTCATTGCATGAGACTTGTTGTCCTCTCTAGCTGTCCCTGCAGCACTGGCCACTCCTAGGCATTCAGCAGAGCACAGGCAAAGCAGGTTCCCCCGCCCCCGCTGCCTCTGCCCACCATGTGGTTGGAGCTGTCCTGGCCCCAGGTGCTCTAGGGATGCAGTCATCTCTGCTTACAGAGGCGAAGGCGGCTAACACACCAGGAACTGGGAAATCTGTGAGGACAATCCCCCCCCAAGGAATGCTGCTTTAAAAGCAAAAGACAGATGGCCACCAGTTGGAGCACGGCGTGTGTAAGGATTCAAGAGCCTAAGGCATGCGCCTGTGCAGAACAGAAAACACTGGCCCTCTGAAGTGGGAGCCTCTGATTTGGATTTTTCAGTTGAAGCAGTCAATATAAGATACTGGATTTTTTATAGGGTACAAAGTATTCTCTTTATGAATTCATTTAAAAAAAGGTCTGGAAAAGCAGCGATATGGACTACCCCCAAAATTTTTTGAGGTGTTTAAGATTATCCTTGGCCAATCCCTAATTGAAAATGACTTCATCGTATTTATAAACAAGGAGCAGCACGTGCAGGAACTCTCAATTGACAGACGTCTACACAGTTATTTTTATTTCTGTTTTGGTGTACAGATGAGGGTGATTCCCATCTCCCTACAATGAGCCTGGAATGTGTCTAGTCTCAAGCTGCCCCAAAAGCCATTCCTGTGGGTGGTACTAACACTGCTTAGGCCACCTCACCCGAGATGCTCTTGGGAAGACAACAGGGACACAGTCCTCCTCAAACCAATTTCTGAGTCACCGGTGACTCTACTCCCCTGAACTCAGCAAACATTTGTCACCAGAAGACGACCATGGCAGCCTCCCCTTGGCATGGTGTGAACAGTCTGTTCCCATGATCCAACCAGCTTTGACATTTACTTTGCTCCCACTTGGGGACATTGCTGTCAGCAGCTTTTCAGTTTCCCTGTGAGGTCTGAAACCTTAAAATAATCACTTGGGGATAAGTAAGCCATACTATCCAGAATTCTTTCAAGACTATAACAGGTTTCATATCTGCTGCATTAAGTATTGGTTCTGGTCAGCAGGCACATACCACATCAAAGCTGAGCTGCATACAGAGCCAAGTGTGGTGTACACATCTATAGCCCCAGCACTGGAGAAGCTGAGACAGAAGGATCTCCAGTTCAAGGCCAGCCTGGGCAACACTACCTCAAATAAAAAGCTGAGCCACATTCCCACCTTTCTGCTTCTATGTGCAGTGATGCCTTCATGCAGGGCTCCTGGTATTGCAAGCTCTTTGTCAAAGGCATCTGTTTAATGCTGCTTGGCCTCAAAAACATTTCTAGCCTAAGAAAATAATGCTAAAAAGTGTGCATAATTCAATGTCACATTTCATATTGAAAAATGAGGTAAATTGGAGTATATGCTACTTTTGAGTTCCTAGTGTAGAG